CAACCTAGCAGTTCGAAAACATGTAAAAATGCAAGTAGAAAAATAGGAACCACTGTTGGTGGGATGGTAACAGCGTTCCGTGCACCTTTGGCGTTTAGTCATGCCGGCCACATGATCACGGAGACGTCTTCGGACAGCGCTGGCTCTTCAGCTTTGAAACGGAGATGAGCACCGCCCCCTAGAGTCGGGAACGACTAGCACATATGTGCGAGGGGAAACTTTACCTTTACCTTATTTTGTACCGTATTTTGTATTCCTCGACTTATAACAGTTTGTTTAGTGATGGCACTGAAAAAGGGGACTCATGGCCATTTTTCACAGTTATGACCTTTGCAGCATCTCTGTGATCCCATGACCAAAATTCAGGTACATGGCAACTGACTCCTCTTTATGACCGTTGCCGTATCTCGAGGTCCTGTGGGATCCCCTTTTGCGAACTCCTCACAAGCCAAGTTCACTTAGCAAATGTCTCGCTTAGCAACACACTCAATTGTGGTTGTAAGTCAAGGACTACCTATATATAACCTTGGTTTCTCCATTTCTCCCCATCAGATTCCGTAACCAATTGTTTTACGACAAGGACAAGCAACCCTGCCACGGGTTTGAGCTTCCTAAGCCACTGACCACCTGCGATGTGGCCGTACGCATCTTGCACACCCGTTATGACCATTTATCGCCTTTTCACGATTTCCCCAAAGAGCTCCCGAAACTGGACCTCCCATCCACGGTGACGGAGGCGACTCAGTCCAGCAATCAAACAGAAATCCAAACCGAAGACCGGGAGACCCTAAAAGATGTTTCTGAGATCAAAACGGACGCCTCGGCGAGAACCATGGTAAGGCAGGGGCAGAAGCTTCCAGAAAAAAAAAGGACATTACGAGGATTTGTAACATTCCCTCCATGGGCACACTTTGCAAACTGCTCACGCAAAAGATAAATTTAGGGTTCACTGGGCAACTGAATGGAGCTAAGTTTTTACTGGCCGGATGCCTGCCTGTCACCAGTGCGGAGTTTTGTTTCGGCAGATATATTCTCAGTGTACCCAGAGAGAGAAATATCTCGCCTTTCCTTATTGGGAGGCGAGAGATCTACCTCTAGGCCACCACCTCACTCCACAATTCTTTTTTTTAATAAGTAATTTTTATTAAACGTTTTACAAAACAAAACATAAAAAACCAACTTCACCATCCATTCTTCCCATTCCTAAGACATCAGTATATCCCATTTTGTTTATCATCTTACATACTTTCCATTCAAATTTACAATTTTACAATAGCCGAGTTGGAAGGTCTTCAACCCCCAGCCTAGGCAGGAAACCCTACACTACCTCAGACAAATGGCTATCCAACATCTTCTTAAAGACTTCCAGTGTTGTTGGAGGATTCACAACTTCTGGAACCAAGTTGTTCTACTGATTAATTGTTCTAACTGCCAGTTCTAAGTTGATTCTCTCCTTGATTAGTTTCCACTCATTGCTTCTTGTCCTACCCACAGGTGCCTTGGAGAACAGTTTTACTCCCTCTTCTTTGTGGCAGCCCCTGAGATATTGGAAGACTGCTATCATATCTCCCCT